TATATTAATGAGGTGACTTTTGGAAAGCCCCTAGATCACCTACCATGGGGGCTGGTTCCAGGAGAACCAACCCAGAGATGAGAGGTTGGAATTTCCAGTTCCACCCCCACCCTATCCCCACCTCTGGGGAGGGGAAGGGACTGAAGGAGAAGTTCAATTGCCATTGGTCAGTGATTTAATCAACCGTGCCTTTGTAACGGAACCACCTTAAAACCCCAAAGGACAGGGTTTGGAAAGCGTCCAAGGCTGGTGAACCAAGGCACATCCATCACAAGGGTAAAGCCTCTGTGTGTGGGACCTTGCCCTGTGTATCTCTTCACCTGGATGGTGCTTCCTACCCTTTGATATCTTTTGTAATAGACTGGTAATCTCGTGAGTAAAAGGGCTTCCTGAGTTCTGCAAGCCGTTCTAGCAAATTAATCAGACCCAGGACAGGGGCGTGGAAGCTTCTCCTGTATAGCCAGCTGGTCAGAGGCACAGATGCCCAGCTGGACTTGACACTGGCATCTGAAGTGGGGAGCTGTCTTCCGGGACTGCGCCCTCCGCCTGTGGAATCTGATGGTGTCTCCAGGTAGCAGTGTCGCTGGTGTCACACACTAGCTTGGCGGTGTAAGGACCCCCCCCCCCCTTTACTGGAATTGGGTGCAGATCATACCCCCTAAGCGGCTGTGCTCTTATTTTCTGACTTAAGTATCCGGAAAAACTAGGGCAGAATTTGTACAGCCTGAAGGCATTTCTCTTCAGACCCCATCTCTGGGCTTTATGCCTCAAGTGCCTACTGTTTCCACTTCAGATTCAACATGTCAGGGACGCCTGGGTGGCTTAGCGGTTGGACACCTGCCTTCAGCCCCCTGGGGTCCCAGAATCGAGTCCCACGTCGGGCTCCCTGCATGGAGCCTGCTTCTCTCTCTGCCTGTGTCTCTGCCTCTCTCTGTGTGTCTCTCATGAATAAATAAATAAAATCTTTTTAAAAAAAATATTCAACATGTCCAAACAGACCCAAGTGGGGGACACTTCCACCCAAATCTGATGCTTTTACAATGCTCTGAATCCTAGTGAGTGACACTAGCATCCATCCAATCAGTTAAGCCAGAAGCAGAAACCTCATCTGCCCTTTCCCTGGCCCTCAGTATTCCGTCACCGAATCAGGGCCCTGTCACCTCCAAACATTCAAACCTGTCCTCCTTTCTTTTCCGCTGCCACCACAGCTGCACCGAGCTCCCACCCCTACCCCCACCCCCACCCCCGCATCTCTCTCTTGGACTTGGGTGGCAACTTTCTAGCTGTTTCCTTTACTTCCTCTCAAGCCTGCCTCCAGGCCCCTCTCCACCCAGCAGCCAGAATTATCTTTGCATCTGTAGTCCACTACTTCTCATGGGAGGAGAAAAAGGTTCTAGGAAAATACACATGTGTCCTCACATCTGTGCAAGAAGAGATAAGGCAATGATAAACCAAAAACTAATGGGACAGAGGGTGGGTGGAAAAGTTGGGAAAAGAGGGAAGGGGAACGAGGTAGGAGGGAGGACGAGGGCAGTCCTTCTCGGAGGATACCTTTCCTATAGAGCTCAGATTTTAGAACTGTGGTAATGTTTCAGATCTCCAGGAAATAAAAATATAAATGATAAATAAGTAAGCAGGATGTGGGGGGGCGAGGGCTGGGAGGAAGAGGGTGGAGGGATCCCAAATGACATGCAAACAATGGCAAAGAAATGTAGTTATATTAAAAATGAATGCCACACCACACTGAAGGGAGTGAGGAAGGAAAGAACTAGTCTAACTTTGAAAAAAAAACGTACTTTGACTATGGGATTGCTCCATAAAAGGGAGGTACATGCAAAACCACCTCCAAGGGCCCAAGAAGCTACAAGACCGGCTGACACATCCACCTTGATGAGAAATGATTTATTAAGGAGCCGTAGGGACAGAAGCATGTCTTGGGTGGCTGCAAGACCCAAGGCACGTAGGTCTCTGCAACCTCAGTTCTTTAAGACATGTTTTTATAGCTCTAGAGCCTGGGGAGTACATGCTGGTAGACCACCAGGTAGGAAATGTATCTTCGGAGTAGATAAAAGATATTATGCCCCAAAGATGTACTTAAGGGTGAGATTAGACAAAAAGGGAAGAATGTGGAAGCAGAGGCTGTAGTGGAGAAGGCTGCAGGTCACAAAGCAGTCATCATGGCACATGGGTCCAAGATGGTGTTAGTCCGGTTCACACAGTATTGTCAAAGGCTAAAGACAGATTCTAGTTGATGAAGGTGTGTTTCACATTTATGGGTTAGCATTCTTTTTTTAAAGATTTTATTTATTTATTCATGAGAGACACACAGAGAGAGGCAGAGACATAGGCAGAGGGAGAAGCAGGCTCCCTGCAGGGAGCCCCATGCAGGATTGATCCCAGGACCCCAGGATCACTCCCTGAAGCAAAGGCAGATGCCCTACCACTGAGCCACCCAGGTGCCCCTGCAGGTTAGCATTCTGAACTTATGTGAATTACAAAATTGGGCAAATAAGTAACTTTATCATGGATGAAAGCACTAGGTTTCTCACTATTGGAGAAGAGACAATAAATAAGAAAACAAGAAAGACCTGTGATTTCGGATTAGAATTGGAGGTATCAGTATGAACTCATGATTTTTAATATATATGTAGACAGGGGCACTGGATGGTACAGTTGGTTGAGTGTCCAACTCTTGGTTTTGGCTCCAGTCGTGCTCTTGGGGTCATGGATAGATCTCCACAACAGGCTCCCCGCTCCCTTCTCCCACTGCCCCCCCCATCTCCCTCTCTCTCTTAAATAAATAAATAAATAAATAAATAAATAAATAATTAAATATATATATATAAATGTGTATATAGACAGGTGAGTATAGACAAAGCTAGATATGTGTGTGTATATTCCCACATATATTTCCTAGTTCTGTTCATTGAGTGGGTCTAGAAGCAATGACACCCCAGGCACAATGAACATGTCTAGCACCCTGATCTTGGCTTCTTAATATAATTCCAAAAAAGGGTCCAGAGGTCTTTAAAAAACTCCAGGGTGAGAACAAAGAAAGGGCAAGAGGGGCCCCAACCATTTCATGATGCCAAGGGTAAGGTGGGAGCATGTCAGAAGGACAAAAGAGCCAATATAAAGGGTCTCTCTGTAGCCCAATATGGAGTAAGTTAAGCAACAAAAGAAATGATAACCATAGGCTATTACTCACAGAATAAAGTAAATATACGTGATTCCATACTGATATAAATATAAATAAGTTATTGACTAAGTAATTAAATGGGAGTTAAGAAACAACTCTTTGTTACAGTAGATTTCCAATCAATAAATGTTGAAGAACGATGGAAATAGAAAAATTACAATTCGGCAGACACCATGGTCATAATTGTTGCAGGCAAAAATCATTACTATATGCTAAAATTAGTGGAAAAAACTATGACGGGAAATGGGATTTTTGCGTAGCCTGCAACCTACATGTGCATCGAAAAGGGAAAAACAGTAACTTTGCAATGAAAACACTTGGCAGACACAAGCTGAATCAGTGATCCAAGTGAACATCACCACCAATTGTGATGCGTATTGATATCAAGTGCCTCCCATTACACTGCACGGAGAAGGACACAATGTCACAAGGTTCTTGCCCCAGCAATGCACAGCCTGAACTTAAACATGAGAAAGCATCAAATACCAACTGAGAGACATTCCACAAAAACAGCCAGGATTCTTGAAAAGCACCACGATATTGAAAGACAGACCGAGGAACCATCACACATTGGAGAAGACAGAGAAGTGACAAATACATGCCATCTAGGATTCTGGGTTGGATCTTGCATTAGAAAAGGACAGCCTGATTTGGTTTTAATAAGTGTACTTATATAAGATGCTAACATTTGGAGAAGCTGGGTGAAGAGTATGTGGGAACTCTTTGAACTATTTTTGGAACTTTTTTAAAGTTTGGAATTATTTAAAATTAAAAAGTTTTTAAGAAAAAAACGTTTTTAAAATAAAGACCTGAAGCAGTCATGACCTGGCTTCTCCACTGCTCTTAGGATACAGTCCAAAAAAAAAAAAAAAAGGATACAGTCCAAAATTTTAAACACGGACTCCAGCCCCAGGCCGTCCCTCCAGCCTCCCCTACCTCTCTCTGAGCTTTAGTCACTCTTGTAGTTCATTGAAATAGTCATTCTCATCCCCAACAATCATTTGCTCATAACTGTTTCATTAATGTCTGCTCCTTCATTAAACTAAGTCCCATAAGACCAAAGACTACGTCTCTTTTTGGTCATGAGTGTATACCCAGCACATAGTATGCACTCAATGAATATTTGTTGAATGAATAAAGGAGTGCACGGTGGTATAGGGTGCAGGGTGCCACAAAGGCACATAATTCCTACAGGTTAAACCAAAAATGGGACAATTCTGATTTACCATGTCTCAGGTGTACCCTTTAAATTCTTTTAGATATGCCCCATTCATCCTTGCAAGGTGGTAGGTAACCAGGTGTTCTAGTGGTCCTCCTGGTTGTCAGGCTTTGAGAAGCAAATGTGTGGACATTGTCTCCACCCAGAGCCTGGGACTTTACTGAGAATCTCCTAACCAGAGATGAGGAACTTCATCCTAACTCCGCAGGATCACACTCATGTTCCTGAAAGGTGGCAGAGAACAGGGTAAAAAGGGTAGACTCTGGAGTCAGATCCTAGAGGTCATCTTGAGAGTTGTAATGCTAAGCAACCTCTACTGAAGTTAAATGCAAACAAGACACAGAGGTAGGCACTTCATTCACACTATCCTGTTCAGTCCTTACGACAGCCCCAGTGGAGGGGGAAACTGAGGCATAAACAGGTTAAGAGACTTGCCCAAGTCACACAGCTAACAAGTGGTGTCAGGCCTTGAACTCTGGCTATTATACAAACTTCCTAAAATTGTCCTTTCTTTGTCATTTTTTTTCAAGGAGGTGAAAACTTCCCAACTGCAGGAGATATTCCAGTGGGCAAGGTCTCTTAAGTGTCCGCTCCTGTGGCCTCTCTGCTCTGATAGCCTGTCACATCAAGATAGGACTATGCACTTTTAACAGCATCTGGAGGCATCATCTCCTCTGTTGAGCTTAACTGGTAAGTGACACCATGGAAGGAATTTGGGCCCAGGAAGATTGGACACATGGTTAAGAAAGAACCTTCTCGGTGGGCACATGAGTTGCATGGGAAGCAGAAAGTCCACCCCATCTCTGGGTCCAGTTCTTTTCCTAGGGTTCATCTCAAAGAAATAACTGTCGACTATAGGAGGCTTGGGGCTGGTTTTGGCTTCCTGCTCACCCATGCTGGTGATCCTTTTCATGCGCTTCCAGTGAGCTCTCTCCCCAACCCTCCATCTCCCTTCTCATGCTCCTGATAGCATAGGTTGGCCATGTGCAAGGCTTCCTCATTCCTTAGGAGCTCAACCCTTTGATTTCTTCTCCTTCAGTCTTGGAAGAGGGGAAGCAGGGAAAGGTTCTAGAATATGGAGCTGTAAGACCTGATTCTTCCATCACTTAGCATCACATCTCTACTACCTTCTTGATTCACAGAGTTGTTTAGAGACTTACATGAGATACATATTTAGGGAAGCACCAGGGGGTCTTCTCAGTGCTATGCAGATGTTAGTAACTCTTCTTACTCCTCTGTGCTGGGATGAAGGACCAGAGCAGTTCTGCATGGAGGTGCTGGCCTGGCGGCTGCTGTCTACACACTTAAAGGAAGCAGCGATCTGTGGCTTTGACTGCTCAGTAGCATTTGGACTACAGCTCTTCTCTAGGCACTGGCATCCCTGGTGGGATCCCACCAAGGTTGAAGACCTCCTCCCCACCCTTCCTCTTCACCTAACATTTCTTGAACCCCCATTATGAGTCAGAAATTCTCACTTCCAATATCTCAATTTAATTCTCACCGCAGCTCCACACATTCATACACAACCTCCTGTTAGGAAACTGAGGCTCAGAGAGCCTCTTCACCTTGCCCAAGTTCATAAGTTAATAATTAGTACACATGGATTTGAACTTGCATCTGCCTGTCAGCAAGGCTAGTACTGTCTCTGCCATTACAGAGCTGCCACAAACAAATGATTTCATCAGACAACCCTATGATCTATGCAAAGGTAGAATTATTACTCTTGTTTTACATAGAAAGAAAATGAGTTTGGGAGAGTTCATGAGGTTATAAGAAATAGAACTGGGGATAGAATCAAGATCTCCGGTTTCAGTACACTCATTCACTCATTTTACAATTTCCTGAGCTCCAGCCCTCTACCCAATATTGGGAAAACTAATCCAAATTAGAAAGGAGCTCATATTCTAGCGAGAGGAAAAGACAATAAAATGGGATTATAATCTCTCTGCTTTTCCTCTGGAAATGGTCCTTGAAATAGTCCTGGATTCCCCTTTCTCATCCAACACTTACTCCTCTACCACCTTCAGAGAAGCATCTGTCTCCTCCATGCCCCCAAGACTGCACTTGTCAACATCACCAGTGATGCCTGTGTTGGCAGATCTCATGGTCCTCCTTGCCTTCATTTCATTCTATCTCTCAGCAGTATTTCACACAGCTGACAACTCCCTTCTTTCTGCAATATTTCCTTTTCTTGTTTTCTGGGTGGTATCTGCTTCTTCTGAGTCTTTGTCGCTCATCCTCTTGGGCCCAGGGCTCTCTATAGAACATGTCTGCATGTTCTTCGAACACATCGAGTTTGACCCAATTCTGGACTCTGCCTTGGCTGTTCCTTCTGCTAGAATCCTCTTCTCCTCATCTTTACACAGCTGGTTCCTTCTTAGCCTTCATGTCTTAAATTTCAGCTCTTGAGAGGCCTTTGCTAACGCTCCATCTAAAGATGGCCCTCAATCTTTTCCTTCATCAAACCACACTTTAGTGCTCTGCCTGGCACTCACAGCTATCTCCTATTTTCTTTTTTCTTTTAAGATTTTATTTATTTGTTCATGAGAGACACACACACACATAGAGAGAGAGAGAGGCAGAGACACAGGCAGAGGGAGAAGCAGGCTCCATGCAGGGAGCCCGACGTGGGACTCAATCCTGGGTCCCCAGGATCAGGCCCTGGGCTGAAGGCGGTGCTAAACCGCTGAGCCACCCGGGCTGCCCTATCTCCTATTTTCTTAGTGATGTATTTGCTTATATTATTTGCTTTCTCTTTCCCTCACACTCAACGAAAAGTAAACTCTGTGAAAGCAGGGGCTTTGCCCATCTTGTAGAAGAATTCTTGGCCCATAATAAGCATTTGACAAATGTTTGTTTAATAAACATACGGAAGGTTTTCTCTGAAAGACAGGAGAGAGGGAGAGACAGAGAGAAAGAGATTCTGAAAGCTAAAACAAACAAACAAAAAACCCAACAGTTTTTAGAAAGAGACATGGTCAAAAGTATCAAATAAATGCCCAGATACAGCAAATATGACAATAACTAAAACAATTTAAATTGGATTTGGAAATTTGGTGGTCACCAACAATCTCAGCAAAAGCAATTCTGGTGGAGAGTTGAGTGTGGAGAGCTAACTTGAGAGTTGAGTATATGGAAGTGAGACAGCGTAGATGTAAGCTTAGCTATAAAGGTGGAAGGAAGCTAGGGGAATTGATAGGCCATCAGGGTCAAGGAGCATTGTTTGGTTTGTTTTTGCTTTGAGATAGAATAAATTGAGCATGATCATTTGCTAGGAGGACAGAGTCAACAGAGGAAGAAATTAAAAATCTATAGGAAAGGTGATCACTATAGAACATAGTTCTTAAAGGAAAGAAGGGATTGAATCTAATGGACAAGAATAAGTTCTTCTTGGCGTAAGGGTCAGCACCTTCTCTTCCAGGTCAGGGCAAGAGAAGGAAAGCATGGAGAGCGGTAAAACAACGAAACAAAACAAAACAACGCCACACACAAAAACAAAACACACACACAAAAAAACAAATCCATCCAGTTTTATGGGCAAAGGTTGAGAAATGGACAGAGCTCCCTCTTATTGGATTATATTTTCCCTTTTTTATTTATTTATTTATTTATTTATTTATTTATTTATTTATTTATTATTTTTTATATTTTCCCTTTTAATGGCAACTCCTGGGCAGCCCTGGTGGCTCAACGGTTTAGTGCCGCCTTCAGCTCAGGGTGTGATCCTGGAGACCCAGGATCGAGTCCCATGTCGGGCTCCCTGCTTGGAGCTTGCTTCTCCCTCTGCCTGTGTCTCTGCCTCTATCTCTCTCTGTGTGTCTCTCATAAATAAATAAATAAATAAATAAATAAATAAATAAATAAATAAAATCTTAAAAAAAATAATGTCAACTCCTGGTAGCAAGAGAAGTGGGGAAAGGAGAAGGCACTTGATAAGGGAAAAGGCATAAAATAACCATTGTAGGCAGGGATGAGAAATAAAGTGCATTTGGAACGATGACAGAGAAGAATGTGTGGTGACTTGGAAGCCCCCAATGACGTCAGAGGTACCCACATATTCTTAAGTGTGGGCGTGCAGAGAAAGGAAGGTGGTGAGGGTCAATCCAGGTGGAGGGAGTGCGCAGTTGTCCTCAACGCTGGTGCTTTGACTGAGGCCCACTCCCTCACTATTACCCAGTTACCAGGTAGAAAACACCCTAGCAGAAAACAATTGTTCTGCAAAGACAACTGCCCCAGTTTTCCACTCGATTACACTAAATCCACAGCTCTTGCTGCCACCCTTGCTTGTTGCCAGAACCTGTGCACACCCCTCCGGCGTCCTGACAGTGCTTGAAGCTGCTGTCAGTGGGTACTGTACTTCAGAGGGCAGAAAAGGCATATTCTGGAAGTGGTCTGGGATAAGCAGAACACTAACACTGCCTTCCAGGGCCATCCCAGTCCCTTGATGTAAGGGAGGGAGGGATAGAAGGTGGGGAGGCATGTTTCAATTAAGGCAGAAGGTAGGAGTGCTCGGTGAAATATCGAGGCTATGTCAGAGTTTTGCATCTAGGAGAAAATGCGGGGCCTGGAACAAGGAGTTAACTGGAGCGCTCGCGTCCATGACGTCCATTTGGGCAGGCCAAGGTCCTTCCTAGGTGTGTCAGTGTCCAAGGAGTCTGGGGTCTGAACAGCAGAACACTGGCTGGAGGAAACTGTTCTTTCTGAAGCTTTCACTTCTCAGTAATGAGAGTCCGGGGAGTGCCCTGGTGGAGAGGAGGTGATTAACCCCTTCCTGAAACCTGCAATTGCCTTCAAGGCTTGGAGGGATCTAACTGAACTCATTTTGTATCACTTCCTATAGTCATCGCCATAACTTGTTGACGGGTGGATGATTGATCTACATGAAATAACATGCAGTTTATGTCCGATCCTGAGAGAGAGCAGAGAGAGGCTTTCCACACAGACCTTTCAAACTTGTTGATGGGTGGATGGTGATCTACATGAAACAACATGCAGCTTATGTCCAAACTAGAGAGAGCAAGAGACAGAGGTAGAGACAGACTTTCCACACAGACCCTCCAAACACTGTCCAGGGAGAGCCGAGGCTAGAATCAGAACTTAACAAACATCTAAAGAACATGATTTCTTGTCTTCAGGCTTTGAGTAACAAAGAATGGAGTTCCCAGTCTAATGGGGAGACGTAGATTGTGCCCTCAGAAAGCTTTCCAATGTGAGAGCCACACATACAGATGAAAAGCACCAGAGAAAGAGGGCAAATGAGCACAATTCAGCCGAGGTACATAACCGCTCAGGGGATGTGGAAGAGTGTTGATACATCAAAGGGAGTAACTGGAAGCAAAGGATGTTGAGCTCCATCTTTTTCTTTTCTTTCTTTTCTTTTTTTTTTTAATTTATTTATTTGACACAGAGAAGGCAAGCATAAGCAGGGGAAGCTGCAGAAGGAGAGGGAGAAGCAGGCTCCCTGCTGAGCAGGGAACCCAATGAGGTGCTCATCCCAAGACCCCAGGATCGTGACCTGAGCCAAAGATAGCCACCAAGGTGCCCCTGTTGAGCTCCATCTTTAAAGGATAAAGGAGAAGCAAGCAGAAAAGAATTCTCTGCAGGGCCTGAGTTTAGGAGGCAGGAAGGAAAAGACTAAGGAATCCCTTATCCTGAAGGAAGATAATGGCATGTGGTCGTTCAGCTGAATC